GTAATGCTCCTGACTCAGGAATGGCACAACTGATATGTCAGAAGAAGAAGAAGAAAAAAGATCCCAGGCATTCTTTTAGCAAAAGGTTAAAAAGCCGTAGATGGCAGTGTTATGATTGAATTCTAAAAATATAGACAATACTTGTACTTTTCAAATAATCCTGGGCATTACGTAAACCCAGGCAGAGCAGAACAAAGCCTCACTGAGGGTGAAATCATCATCACAGCAAACAGTATTACCCTTTTCATAGAATCAAACACCGGAGCAGGAAGCCAATAAACTAACAGGTGATACGTGCACAGAGTGACCACTAGGTGGCCATACAGAGAAAATACAGAGAAACAAAAACACAATATTTAACTTCAACAAAGGACGAGAATCAGTTTCTTCATTCAGTCCTGAGCGGGCCGCCGTCTGCATTTAGTGTATTTATAAAGTCTCTCTCTGCAGAAATATTCCAGATGGCCAAATCTCCTTTTTGGTGGTTTCTAAATTCTCCACCACAGGACTGTCTGGATCGCTGTTATATATATTAGAAACGTGTTTTCCGTCTTGCATGTCTGTGATCAGAGACTCTTTGTGTGGCCCAGAGTTACAGTTAATTAAGGATTTTATGTCACACACAGTGTAAGCCACTGCTCGCCTTCTTTTTTATTCGCACAGTGGTTGCAAAAGCCACATTTAAAAGAACCGTCAGTGGTTGATGAAGCCAAGTGTTCTTATTATTGCTGGCTGGAGGACGACTTGCTGCTAACCTTTCCCTCAGTGCAGGGGTCTAAAACTGATCTAGGGAGGGGCTGAACAAACTGGATGAGATTCCAGTTTGAGTGTCCTCTTTGTGGAATGTACTCTGGAGCTGTAGGTTTAGTTTTATCCTAAAGATGTTCTTTTCTTCTTCTAAAACACAGACTAGACTTCTTCGTTTTTACTCATAATAAGTCATAATAAGTGCCTCAGTGTAGATAATAACTGATTGTGCAATTACGGTAAGAAGTACAGTCATGACTTGATAATCTGACCCTTAACAAAACCTTGCTGTCCGACAGGTTTTTAGGAGAAATGAACGGAACCCATGAAAAATAGCCTTAACATACCGACAGCCTTGGATTCTGACTCCGACATGACATTTTATGTCACAAATAAGGTATTATCTGACGTAGCAATTCAACAGATTGGCTACATTCCGACTGCAGGACCCAATGCTTGATTCAGATTTTTTTTGTGAAATCGGATTTTTCGTTCACATTTCCAATTAAATGTGACTTGTATGTGATCACCTGTGTGAACTTCATACGACCCAAAACACAACGACGTCACACGCAGCGAGCGTGCGCAGTGTTTACAAAAGTAAACATGGATGGTGGCGATGGCGGGGGAGTGGCACTGCCGATGGTGGAAACAGAACTGTGACTGCTATCCTAAACTAGCATCAACAGCCAAGTACTGCCTGTGCATTCTTACCACTTCTAGCCCGTTGGAGCGCTCCCCCAGGGTAGAAGTGTCGCCCCCGACCGCCCCGAATATTTGGATATTCATCATTAATTGGGCCTGAATATCCAGAGACCAGAAAGTGCTTTTGCAAATACGTGTATATATTCTTATTTGTCTTTTTATACTTTTACTTTTCCGACCAGCCATACTTGTTATTATAACAACTATGAACAATAATTAACAACAAGTGACCCTTCCAGCATCAAGCCCTCCTTGTATCTCGACGTCCGTCTTGACAATCCAACAGCCTTACTATCCGACATAAAAGACGGTTTTACATTTGGTGTCGGATTATCGAGTCACGACTGTGTGTGCAAATTTGATGTTCTGCTCAGTTTATGCTAAACACTAAGCAGGTGAGTGTAATTGAACAGGGGAAGCAGCTTCTTAAGGTGCAGATTTATTCCCACGCAGTGTCTTAGGGTCTGCCTCCATGATGTTCAGCACCTTGAGAACAATGTTAACATGATGTAGTGACCCTGCCCCCTCTCTCTCTCTCTCTCTCTCTCTCCAGCTGTATCCAAGGATCAAACCCAGACAACGCTCACTGGCATAAAGCCCAGAGCAGGAGCCACGCGCACACATGCAGAGGGCGCATGCACACCGAAAAGAAGAAGAAGAAGAAGAGGAGGAGGAGGGAGGAGCAGCACGGAGCAGAGAAAGAAAGCAGGGTGGAGGTAGTCAGGAGGCTGAGAGGGGAGATTGGATTTTGTTTTATCCATCTGCTTGGATGCAGCAGAGCCACTTTCTGGTAGAGGCAGGATATCTTTTCACTGAGTTGCTGAGGAAATTGCCTGGATCTTGTTTTAAGCGATCATAGCTTGACAACTTTACAGGAGTTCAGCAGCATGAGAGACGCTGAATAAAAAAAATATATATGTATAAAAAAAAAAGTCATTTGGATGCAGCTTCAACTTCCGCCCAGCTTAAAACATGAAAACACGAGCTCAGAGTTATAAAGCTCCGTCTGACATTCTGCAAATATTCTTGATCTTTAAATGTCACTTTATTTTTATACAGTGTTAATTTTAAAAAAATAAAATAAAATCAGCACCCAGATGGATGTTTGTAATGCCAACCTCATCAAGCAAAAAGGAGGTGCTCGGTGAACACAGTATGTTGTCTGGGAAGAGTTTAAATGCAGTAAATTCACAATCAGGTGGATGTATGTGTGAGACGTGACATGTGAAAGTGAAACTGGAGAGACGAAAGTGAGGAGAGAACAAACTCCGAATGTGTGTTAGAGCAACTTTGTTTAGCCTGTTGATGGAGCAGCTGGAGTTAGAGTAGAGGTGCAGCCACGAGACGATGACACACGGTAGCTGATAGGAAAAAAAAAAAAGTCATTTCAGAAGAATATTGTGGTTTTAATTTCCCAAACAAGACATAAAAAGCATCTGCGAACCATTACGGATGTGTCAACCTTCGAGTATTCTGTGTTTGTGTTGAGTCAGTGCGAGCTGCCGTGTGGCCATCTGCTCCACCGGTTGGAGAGAGAGAGAGAGAAAGGAAGGAGAACAAGAAAGTGGAGGGAATGAGTTTAAAGGTGAGGGATGGAGAATCTTTTTATTTTTTTTTTTAGATGAAATAAACTCTGGTCCTGGTGCAACTCTGGTACGAGGCACTAAATAAAACACAACACAGCAGTGTTTCCCATACATGAAAAGCTCAGTGTTTAAGGATTTAACTTCCATCAATTTGCTGGTAAATGTCACATGACAGCTCCTGTTGCTGCCCGGTGTTGGTTTTATTTATTCTCCAAAAGGCAGCCTCATTGAGATTTAAACAAAGTCTACAGATTATAAAATGTAATGAAAGTAGCCCAGACAGACTCTTTATTTTTCACAATCTCAGTAGCTGTTTGGTAATGTTCCCCTGTTTTTTTTTTGTTTTTATTTAAAGTGAGACATTGTTTTATATGACTATTATTAATGTTGCTGTTATTACTACTCGTGCACACTGTTTGTTTTTAATCCGTCAGTGCAGGCGCCACTCACTGCTGCCACCCAGTGTACAGGAAGGTTTCAACACAAATAAAGCATCATCTTGAACACGCGCTGTGTAAAATATGAAGCAATAAGGCGACGTTTGGTGTGGGAGTGGAACATTGCTGAGAGGAGTGCATACCATTACTTTGTGTATATGCAACCTGTGACTATACAGCTTATGTACATTAATAACAATAAAGAAATTATAATCCCTACAGAGAATGAAAGCCGTGACTCTGACTCACTTACTCGGTTTTTTGAATTACAAGCTGGTCCGAACAGGTGGATGCACTGAAATCCAACTGGTGGAAGGAGGTACTTAAACTGAGTGTTTTCTTTTCTACTTTTAATCCACTACATCTCAGACAGAAGAAGAATATTCTGCTTTTTACTTCTCCATATTTATCTGACACGTTTTGAATGGGATTAGTTTGAGAATTAAGATATTTTTTGTAATTTTTTTGCACACAAAACCCTTTAAAATCTGATATGTTGTAAATTAAACTACCCAACAGTTTATTCAGCTGACACTCTTAGCTGATTAATAATAATTTATAGCACTTGTGATGATGTTTCTCACAATCTTTGGACATTTTACAAACCAAGCAATCAATGAATTATCAAAAAAAAATAATAAGCAGATTAATTAGTCATAAATAATTGAATTAACCAGCTGTATTTAGGTCAAAATTAGCTGCACATGAGCAACTGCAACAGTAAAATCCTGTTTTAACATCAATGCATGACCATTTACTGCACTTTTACTTTTAATACTTCAATTACGATTACTTTCACTTTAGTAACTTTTGCAATCAATGACTTTTTCTTGCAACAGAGAACTTTTACAGTGAAGTATTAGTAGTTTTTACTCAAGTAAAGGATGTGAATATCTGCTGAAATCATTCCCATTGAATGACAACATGTAGTATAATATAAAAGCAGACTGTAGCATGACTTGCTCTTTTTCACTCTGTAACGGACACAGTTGTACAAACACCCACACTGTAACCCTTCAACTTAATTACCTGTGGACTTTAGATAGCAGTCACAGTCTAAGGTCATTCAAGGATCAGCTCTGACAGAAGACTCTCCACCTGTGAGTTTCTCTCTCATTGCATTCACAAAATCCTCACACTGTGCAGCTATTTTTTAATTTTTCTTTCTTTCTTTTTTACAGTCTGTTATGCAGTTTTTATCTTATTTTAACGGCTAGAACACACAGTCTGCTTATTTAGATGCAACTTTAATTTGCAAAAAAAAACGTCAAGGTAGCACACAAACACTACAGATGAAGTGGGTTTCAAAATAAGAGCACGGAGTTGAAAACCGAACAACACAATACAACACGTTAGCATGGAGATGTTGGTAAATCATTATTGTTATTATTTTTATCATGGATATGAGTTTAGATGTGAGGTGACTACAGTTACGGTTTAATATTTCCCATCTGTTGACATAATATTTTGAAGGAGCAACCACAGGCGGAAGTGCTGCTTGTTGTGTTGGTGCTACATGTGTAGCATAATGTAGCGAACAAGGGAGCTGTGATACATTCTGTATTATCTAAAACTCCTCATTGTGTGGTTCAGCAGGACACTTTAACCACATGTAAGTGGACTTTTCATACTTTTAAATGTGCTGTAATTTACTGAAGTGCACCGTGTGTCTCAGTACGCTGTTTGTGTTACTGCCATTAACGTCAAGTCGTTGTGTTGTGTTCAATACACTGGTATATTACAGTTAATGTCACTGCTAGCATGTTTATAAGAGGACAGAAGTAAAATAGAACTGCTTTCATCCTTCCATAGAGCTGTACTTATGGGTTCACTGTAAAACAGGGTGACACATGACAACAACAGTCACAGCTAAACTATCTGAAAACTGTCAGTGTGAGAGTTAGGACATCATATTCTCATGGTTTCTTATTTTGAGCAGCAGATGCAGTTTTACTATATTTACAAGATGCTGTTGTGTGTTTAAACAGATCAAGTCCACCTACAGGCATCCAGCCTGTTTATGATTCCAGCATTGAACTTTCTCTCAGTTTGTGATTAGAACTTATCAGACTACAGTCATTAACTGAACCATAAAATGTGTGTGTTGTCCTGTCTGGCAGCTACTTTTATGATGAGAGAGCTTCTGTTATTCATTCATACATGCACAATAATGTCATTCATTCAGATATTATGCTGGGAATTCACATAAAGTACTGTGATGGAAAAAACTCTCTCACTATTTACACTGGCTGTAATTTATACTTATTAGTATTTAAGGAAGTTAAAACTGTTGTGTTGTGTGCTTACATGATTTTGGAGATCCTGCGTCTTTGTAAAGCTGCAGGTATTTAACAAACTCAGAGGAACGACTCCTACAAACAGCTGGAAGCAACAAACTCAACTTTTTGTTAACGTTTTGAGGTCTGTGTGTCTGTCTGAGTTACTGTTAATGAATTAAACACAATGATTCTAAATGTCATCACTTCACAGTAATGACATAACGTTGACGTAGAACAGTAGAGTATTTGCTCTTATACAATTTTAAAGATTAAGACTTTAACACATTTGAATTTGTAAAAACAGGCCCCTGTGGTTGAAATCTGTCCAATGTCTTTCTGGTATTTTGCAAATAGACTCGTGAACAGATCTTCACAGAAAAGAGCGATACATGACAACAGCTTTTCTGCTGGGAGTTAGAGTCTGAGGCGTTCAGGGCCACCTCACACCAGAAACATGAAGGTTGTTTGTTCATTATCAATGTGACATTCACACCAACACTCACCTTGAGCTCCTACCCAGAAAGAGTCCAAGATCTTTAATGTGAAAGCTCAGAGAATGTGTGTGAAGACAGTTTATTTATTTTCTTCCTAAAAACTGAGCAATTGCATTTTTCCCAAAGGTTTCCTATTGGATTCAAGTGAGGCAACAGTGTTGGTTAGATCATAATTTGTACTTTTCTTTTGATTTAGAAACTTCTCAATCTGGAATGTTCATCATCAGCCAATCTTCTGCAGACTTGTCATATAATGTCACCTCTTCAACTTTTGCATTCACTGAACTCACACTTCACTGTCAGGACCATGCATTCACTATGATGGTAGTCTTTCCTGCATTTTAGTGTCTAAGAGTCAGCTTTTTTTTTTCCTTGAATGCCACCCATAGAAGTTGATGTTATGCGCTGCCCTGACCCCTTTGCCAGGTCTGAAGCAAAGCACTGTCTGATTTTTCAGCTCTTCTGGCAGTTCATGGAGCCATGATGTAGACATACAGATAGATACAGCTCATAGGTCCACAACTGAGAAAGATCCTGCTGTTCACGGGTCATTTAGTAGTCTAGTTAATGCAATTAGGCTGATTGGAAATCACAGGTTTTCTAGCTTGTGTGTCAGTGATCACATATCTATTCACTTTTGTTGCATTAAGTTTTTACTTTTGGGCTTGTCTTGTCAATGGAATCCTAAAAATTTTAAAAAAATGTTTTGGAGTGTTCATAAGAGGAAATGCTCACCCTGTCAACTTAGAAATAATGCAATAGTTGAAAGGTGATGGAATTTTTTGAATCATTTCACATTTAAATGATATTGCATAGGGATGTACATATTTTTGTTTTATCCTATTTTCCTCAGCTCAGGTTTGCTGTAAGATTTTCACTTTCCTGTGCTCTAGCTTCTTGCTTCTTGCCTCAGCTGTTCTCAGAAGCAGCCTTGGCTCTCAGTCTGACTGGAAACATGCCAACAATGAGCACAATTACCATTAAACACATGTGGCACAAATGACCTCCTCTTCTGCACCACCTGTTGACCCCCTAACTCCAGACTCACTCACCAACGTTTTCTAGAGCTTTTCAGTAGTTTGTCATCACTCTCAACTCTCTTCTTTTCCGCCCACTTCTTTGGCATCCAAAGAAACCAGCTGCACCATGGCGAAGCATTTCCACGTGAACACACCACTGCTGGAGTCTATGGGGATGTCCAAGCGAGTGGGAACTACCGTCTATATGAAGATGGAGAACTCGCAGCCCGCAGCTTCCTTCAAGATCCGTGGCATCGGACACCTCTGCCAGCAGGTGGGAGCTCCTCTAGTGGTGCTTGTAAACCCTTTCACCTGCCAGCATAAGATGAAGAAAACATCAGACGATGACTGTTTGATGTGTCTTTGCAGCTCGCCAGACAGTCCAAAGGAGTTGTCTGCTCTTCAGGTGACATTTCTACTATGACACAGCATCTTCTCATTACAGTACAGCAACAATATCTGTTGTTTTAACAGATGGTGTGGTCTTCTTTCTCCAGGTGGTAATGCAGGCATCGCTACAGCCTACGTAGCCAGAAAGATGGGAGTCCCAGCCACTATCATTATTCCGTCCTCTTCTCCCCAGCTGGTGGTCCAGAGACTGCAGGATGAGGGAGCTACTGTCAAGATTGTAGGCAAGGTGAAGGATGGCGTTATGTAGGCAGTCATGGGAAAAATTATTAGACCGTCCTTGTTTTCTTCAATTTCTTGTTCATTTTAATGCCTGGTACCACTAAAGGTACATTTGTTTGGACAAATGTAATGATAACAACAAAAACAGCTCATTAGAGTTTAATTTAAGAGCTGACATTTTCCATGGTTTTCTTGATAATATAACAAAATCACTTCAGTTCTTACATCAGTAGCTGTGGCATCGTACTGCCAAATACAATGCTTTTAGGTAAGTGTTCTAGGTCTTGTTGGAAAATCCAGTCATTGGAGGCAGGAAAGAGTTTTTCAGCTGATGGGGGAAGACTGTTTTCAAGAGTAGCCCTGTACATGACCTGGTTCATTCGCCCTTTATACAATTGCATTTGCCCTGTTCTACCCACACTGAAACAATCCCAGATCATCACTGATGTACCCCCATGTTTTACTGTAGGGGCAAGACAGACTGGTTTGTAGGCTTCTCCAGGCTTCCTCCTAACCAGTAAACTGGCTGGAGTGGGCATCAACTGTCTTCCGAACACGTCCACATGTGGGGAGGCCCCGGGCAGACCCAGAACCTGCTGGAGGGATTATATATCTCTCGGCTTGCCTGGGAACGCCTCGGGATCCCCCAGGCAGAGCTGAAAAGCGTCGCCGGGGGGAGGGAAGTCTGGAATGACCTGGTCCACCTACTGCCCCCGCGACCCGACCCCGGATAAGCGGAAGATAATGGATAGATGGATGGATGGATGGATGGATGGATGGATGGATGGATAGATAGATGGATAGATGGATGGATGGATGGATGGATGGATGGATGGATGGATGGATGGGCATTAATTGAAAATTTCCTCTGCCTTTCGTGGATGAAGGCCTTCTTCCATGTTCTTTTTTTGTCGTGTTCATTGTATTCTTCAGGTAATATACCTTTAGTGGTACAAGGCATTAAAATGAACAAGAAACTGAAGAAAACAAGGGTGGTCTCATATGTTTTCCATGACTGTATATGTAGGAGGTCTCTATCGGGCACAGATACCAGTTCAGATCTGATTAGGTTTGTTTAAATTTGATTCTTTTAAATGAACACCTGAGCACTAGACAAACTTTTTTCCTCTCAGGTTTGGGATGAAGCCAATGCAGAGGCTCTCAGAGTGGCAGAAGCCGAAGGCCTCACCTACGTTCCTCCGTTCGATCACCCCCTGCTATGGTAGAAACCCTCTCAGTTAAAATGGCCAGTCTGTGGTGGATGTCTGATAGAATTACTGACTTTCTCGCTGCTCCTGTGTTTGTGTCCATACAGGCAGGGCCACGCCAGTCTGATCGCAGAGGTCGCGGCCTCTCTGGGTCCCAGTGTGAAGCCCGGAGCTGTGCTGGTGTCCGTGGGCGGAGGAGGCCTCCTGTGTGGGCTCGTCCAGGGCCTGAAGGACGTAGGCTGGACGGACGTACCCATCGTTGCCATGGAGACGGTGGGGGCAGACAGTTTCAACGCTGCGGTTAAGGCGGGGAGGCTGGTCACTTTGGATGACATCACCAGGTTAGATGTTAGAGCTGGAGTGTTTTTTTTTTAAGTTTTTTGAACGCGCCCTCATCTCTCCCCACCGTCCGCCTCTCCACAGCGAGGCGAAATGTCTCGGAGCAAAGACGGTTTGCAAGCAGGCCTTCGAATACAGCCAGAGCAGCGAGCTGACCATCATCTCCGAGGTGGTGACCGACCAACAGGCGCTGCAGGCCATCCAGACATTCCTCGGTTAGTGTGGTTGTCGCCTTGAATCTGCCTTTAAAGCCCAGACTGTGTTCTTCCAGTTTATTCAGCTGTAATGATGATGAGGGATATGAAATAATTGACGTATAAGCAGAAAAATGACCAAAGACTTTACTAAAATCATGCTTTTAGGTTGTTGTCTGATCATTTTTGCTACAGTTTCTTTTAATTGAACGTGTGTACAGGGCAGGCGTACTGTTTCTTCATCCTCCAGAATACATGGAGTTAACTCCAAACCACCAGGCTGCTATAAGACATTTTCAACCCTCACCTTAGAATCTGCAGCTCTGCCTTTCAGTTTGCCGACGTGGGCGACACAACTCTGGAGTTTCATGACAGAACCACAGTCAGTGGTGGAAAGTAGTTAAGAACTTCTGTCCAAGTAACACTGAACATTTGAGGAACTTGTTCTTTATTTTAGCTTTTCTACTTTATACTTCTAGTTGAGTACATTAGTGACACATCAGAATCAGATTTTGTATAAACTAAACAAATAATGACGTAGTTAGAGATTAAAGCAGGAACGTGTTTCCTCTTTAACCCTGATCAGGACTTTCATGTTGCCGTACGTAGAAGGTGTTTCAGGGTTCATTGGACCCCAAGAAAGAATATTTGTTGGTATTCATTAGAGAATTTTATACTATGGTAAATAAATTTTCTGATAAATTGACGTATTCATGGTTCCAAATCTGTGACAAATGTCTCTTTTTATATTTTAAAAAAACATATTCAGAATTAGAAAACCAATACCAGTCACCTAAACCAAATGGCCTGGGGGTCCAAAAGACCCCAAAAGTCCTCAACAGGGTTAACTTTGATATCTCAGTATTTCTCTATAAAGAAATCAAACACAGATTAGTGCAGTGGAAGTTTATTTTTTTCTTCTTCCTCCTACATTAAACACCTCACAACCCTTTGGAGCGACCCAACCCTGCAGCTGTCTTCACCATCAACTACTGTTTCATACATTTTACTTCATGTATCAGTCACATGTTTTACTGTAGAATGAGTTCCTTTACTTTATGTAAAATTTGCTGATGATACTTTTGTACTTTTACTTAAGCAGCCGTTTGAATCCAGGACTGTCACATGTAGTAAACTATGTTAACGACTCACAAAACGAGGGGGAGGAGCAATAGACCCCCATTTGAAACTGAAACTCAGATATTAATGGATCCTTGAGGATTTAAGTAACTAGAACTCCCAACTACTCAGTCAGAACTGATGAAGCCTTTTGGGTGATGGTGAAACGTCCTCAAGGAACTCAAGCAAGTCCAGCTGCTACGATTAATCCACCAGAATAAAGTGTGTTCCTAATGTTGTCCTGGGACTTCTTCTTAAGTGAATAATCTGAGTACTTTCTCCACTACTGACCACATAAGTGCTCCAACCTGCCTTTAAACCAGGTCAAGACTTGTTATTTTTGATGGAGCTGATGACTGCGTGTTCCTCCTCGACACCAGAGCTCACCTCTAACTGACAGCATCTTTGAAGTAACAGCGTTTGATGTTTCCAGCATGTTGTGATTAAAAGCTGCGTCCAAAAACACACAGCGAAAGTCCTGAATTCAAAACCTTGTCTGAGCAAAAGTAGAAAATTATTATCAGCAAAATGTAAAAGTATCAAAAGTCCTCATGATGTAGAAAAGTTTACTGCTGCAGTTTACATAGTGCAGGTCTGAACGCTGGTGGTCTTGTAGATGAGGAGCGTGTGCTGGTGGAGATGGCGTGTGGAGCAGTGCTGGCAGCCGTCTACAGCGGACTTATAGGCAGACTGCAGGACGAAGGTAACTATTGTGGAGTCATCGTCACTTGTTGTTTCTGTCCTGAACCAGTGGAGGAAAGTCAGACTACTTTCTTATGAGTTTTACTGACTTTACAGCTCTTCTGTTTGTCTTTAGCAGTGTTTAGGAAAAGACATTATATAAACATCGGTGTAGACTTTTGGATAGACACAGGACATATGTTCCCTCGATATTTAGAAAAGCACATTCACTAGAATGCTGGGAAATGTAGTGTTTGAGAGTCAGAATTTCCTGGACAGGCTCTGCTTAATGTGCCAAACCCCAGAGTTTAAACTAAATTTCTGTCCCTGCATGTTAGTGTGACATTTAGGTAGATGTTTCTGAGCAATAATAATAATAATGATCCTCCTCAGAGATAAAAAGACAAACAATCAATCAATCAAGTGTCATGCAATTCAGCGCAGGCGATCGTTTCTCTCCATCTAATCCGATGTTTGCTTTCTGAATAGTGACTGTTCCATGCGTAGCCATGATGTCAGCCCGTCCATCATTTTCATTCTCTGTCTGCCTCGTCCTCTCTTCCCGTTCACTTTTCCCAGTTGTGACAATATCCTCAAGGGTCTCTTTCCTTATGATGTGTCCAAAAAATGTTTTCTAATTTTGTCCTTTTTTTTTTAAACAAACATGAAAAAGACAGGCGGTCGATGCTAATATCTACGACAACTTTTCTTTTTAGGTCGCCTGCCAACTCCCTTGGGCCCCCTGCTGGTGATCGTGTGCGGCGGCAGCAGCATCAACTTGGAGCAGCTGAGCAGCCTCAAAGAAAAACTACAGACCTGAACTACTGTGTGTGTGCAGGTGTGTGTGTTTTGTGAGTAGAAAGATGACTGGATGAATTTAAAGAAATGCACAAATTTATTGCCTTGAAAGCAAAAATCCTATTTTGAGACATTTCAGAGAGTTAGTTTTAATATAAATGAATTAGTAAAGTTGTGTAAAGTACAGAAATCAAATGAAATGTTTTAGAAAAGTCAAATAAATCTCTGCAAGAATCAATTATTGCTTCTTCTCATGTGCAGATGCTCACTGTTCAGTTACCAGGTTTCCCCACATGGTGGTGTCACAGTTCACTGTTCAGAAGAAAATCATCCACAGAGTCCATCGCAGAGGAACGTTCATGGGAAGAAAGCTTTTCTGTTGTGTGACTACTACAGCCAAGTATTTGTTCAATAAAACCTTCTCCTAGTCTTTTTGTAGATTTATTTTTTCCTAAGAAATATAGTTTAAAAACAAAACACCAGACCCTCACAGCTGGACTGTCACTTTCCTCTCCACATTAATTTTAGAAGTCCAGTCGGTTTGTGTTGTGTGTAGGAAGCCATTACTATGGAAACAGCTCCTCGCTGCTCGGTGTGCGTCAGAGTTCACTTTAACAACTTGTAGATAATGTTCGCCTTCCCGGCTCTCAGACGGTTGCATAAGACATTAGGGTTGTTCGCAAAGAGCACAAGCAGATAATGGACTTCATGCTAACGCTTGCATAATCAGCTGTGCAACGCGGCGTCGCCTGTTCAAAAGCACCTCGAGCCGTTTATCGATCAGAGCAAAAAAAGAATACAAAATAAGGAAGCTGGAGTGACGGCGGCTCCGTGTGTCGGCGTGCTGAGGTGGGAATGGGAGAGCTTTGTGATGCTGATAATAAAGGCTGCTGCAGGCCGCGGTATCTTTACAATAGATGTTTTGTTCATTCTCAGGTAGTAATTTATCCTGTTATCAGCCGTCGCTCTGCACATCACAAATGGATTCAGCCTCAAAGTATTGGCTTTGTAATGGATACATTATACGCTTTTCTTTTGCACAATAACCAGGTGTATTGTTCGGGAAAAGTTATGCAATGACAGTAGCTGCATGCATGATTTATGATGGATTATATGTAGATGTGTCTTTAGCTGTTGGTGCCCGTCCACCTCACTGAAACACAGCTCCATTCTTCTTAAAAAACTCTTTTGCCATGTGTATATGTATGCTTTGGGTTTTGATCTTCTAAAATTGGTAGGAAATTATTGATACCCGCTAAAAGTGGATTGCAGTGATACTTTAAGGAGTCTGTTGTCCTCAATCAGTAAAGCAGGTGTCCTCTATAGACAAGGAGCAAAGGAAGAAAATAGTGTCCAGTCAACTTATAATTCCAGACCATCTGTGTGCAGCCTCATGTTCCTGTGACCACATCTGTTCAAGCCCGTCTCCAGTCTTTAAAAAAAACAAACATAAAACTCATTTCTGTGTTAAAGTGCTACTTATTTATTGGCTTTTTTCCCATCAAAATGACCCCTTTTTGCCGGAAAGTGGCTTAGATGTTACTCTGCTGCCTTCAGAAAGTACAGATCTATGTGCAGTTCTCAACCCACCTCTGCACTACTTTCTGCATCTTGAGCACACCAGCTCACCTGTGATGCTGCTCAAATACTGTACAACTACTCTAGGCTACGCAATGGTGCGAGTAGTAGAAACCAAGTCAGAAACCAATTCTAAAGAAGAAAGCCCGACCCTGCAAGTTGACAGGGTTGGTTCCTTATGTTGTTCCATATAAACCCTGTAAGTCTGAATGTATGTTTTTGAGACCGTTATCAGAACACTGCAGCTTTGAATGATCGGCCACGGTGGTGACTACTTATTTTGTTTGTGGTATATCAGATACCCAAAAGAGGCTTTGGGATGAAGCTGTTGATCAGTCTGGAGGTTCTTCCTTTAATGCTCTGGAAACATTTGCCTGATGGCAGCAGTTCAAACAGTTTATGGAGAAGGTGTGAGGAGTCCCTGCAATGTTCAGTGTCCTGCTCTTGTTATATTTATATAATTATATATTTATTTATATATATATATTTATATTCCAGTTGCGGTAACTTCATGACATTGGATTGATAACTTCACTTTTCTTCTCCTTGAGCTCAGGATTTCAAGTTCTACCTGAACAAGTCTGGACAATTTCAAACAGTTGATGCTGCTGATTAATCTAAATCTAAATCTACTTCTACTGACTCAGTTTATTGGTTGAACATAACTCCATTGGAGGTTGTCATAACTCTGTAAGATTGCTGCAAACTGTTTGTTGAGACTAAATGCTATTTTTTAGAGTGTATGCTCTCAGAATAAAAAAAAAAGTTTAAAGGAAAAGCTCCGCTGTGAAACACAGAGGAGGCTCCTAAGTACTGTGGCGTCAAAATCTGAAATTTGTCGAAGCATTTTAGAGGAATACCTTCTGCTCCATGTCAGAGAGCTCTGTATCGGTCACAGCTCATGTTTCTAGATGATGACCAAAAAAACCATACATCTAAAAGCAGCTGGAATGGATGAGAAGAAAACTTTGACCTGTAGTGCAGCGCTGAGTCCAATCTGAACATCTCCACTGAAGCTGAGCTGAAACTGGCAGCTGTTAAAAAAATGAGCCAAACCAGCAGCAGAGAAGTGCTGATGTCTCATTATGAGCCACAAAAAGCGCTTGATTGCAGCGGCCGCCTCAAAAGCGCTGCGCTCCGAAATATTAGGTTAAGAGTTCCAATCATTTCGTCCACTGCCATTTTCATTTGATGTATTATTTGAAATAATACGTTAGAGTGAAAATCAAAGGCAGCGTGTTTGTTCAGTCACGTGTTGGTATCCGAGGTCAGAAATATTAAAGAGATTAAAACTCGCTGGCTGCATTTATTAAATCTATTCCAACACCGACGCAGAGATTATAAACCAGATAAGTTGAGGATTTGTGGAATGGATTGTGCAAATGAACGTCGTGATTAGATGTTCCACAAACGAGTAAAACGGCTCAGCGTGTGTCCCGGCCTTCGTTTGCTATTCGGTGTATTTTGAGATGCTTGTTGCTTAGCGTCCTTCCTCTCTCTGATGTGAATAAATTAAGTGATATAAGGATTGCAGTTATGAAACGTCTCCCATTCAGCTGCTGGAAAAACACATGTAGAAGCTCCTCTAAATAACCAGATCTTCCCAGCGGCATGGCAGGCAGGCGGGCAGGTTGAACCGAGCAGCTCCCAGGAGTCTTTGTCTGCAAGGTCATACATGCCGTGGACATGATGGTGTTGTAAATGCTGCTCGGCGTGACGCAACACGGTCCAAAATTCTGGCACCAAGGGGGAACTAACCAGGTGTCCCTCTCACCTGCTCGCCTGTATTACGGGTTGTTTACACCGTGAGCAATTACCGTTCATACGTGATTGAATAATTGTGAGATGACTGGTGTAAATAATCCGTGTAGCTGACCTGCAGCTGTGCTCCCTCCTCTGGTGGATGCGATCAGGGCAGCTGGCAGACGGAGGAGCTAGCGGACGCGCCGGCCCATTTCTATGACAACGGGAAGGAGCTGCTTTGATGAGCCCAGCAGAGGGCATTTGAGCAGCTATAAATAGGACAAAGTAAACAGGAATGAATGGAGGAGACGGAGAGGGAAACGTGTGTGTGTGCATTTGTTTATTATGCGCATGTTTTACAGTCTGTTGTCGGCTCTGTAAAATTAGAGCTGCATGTATTGAGTACTTTTATTATTGGTGTAGTTTGTTTTCTTGATTAACCAATAAGGATCAGATTTTAGAAAAGAGTGAGGATTATTTCATCCTTAAATGTTGTGTTTTGTCCAAAGATATTCAGCCATAGAGGGCTAAAGAAACCAGAAACTACACCACTTCAGAAGCTGTAATGAGAGAATTTTGACTTTTCTTCCATTAAAAAAATGACTCAAACCAATTAACAATTCTGATTCATTTAATAATCTACTTGATTAATTGTTGCAGCTCCACTCCTTCTTGGTGCCAGTGAATTCTTGGAGAACGCTTCTGTCCAGTGAGGTTTTATATAACGCTCTAAACACAGCTCTCTGCATTTGGAAAGGATGTTTCTCTTTTTTTAGTCAATGCTGCTGCAAAAGCCTCGTATATGAAACCCCACACAAAGAAGGGAATCAGGTTTAATTATGCAGATGGAGGAAAACGCTGACATTTTACTTGTTTATTAATTCATGTAAGAATACTCTCGCTTCTTAAAGGTCTTTTACTCTTTTTTCGTACAGTGCTGCGTGTGAAAATAGTAGCAGAGGTCGTGGTGGGTGGTCGGGCCTGCTGGGCCAAGCTGGTGTTTGAAGTCAGTAATTTTTATCTAACATGGTTGCTTCCTTTTT